AAAAAACACTAAGTAAAGAAAAAATTTGAAAATGAACATTTTGCGCAATTTTATAACTTTTTTCGCGATTTTCACTTACAGTTAAGATCCAGTTGATGGGCACCTTAAGTACTTCCCGAAGGGACAGAAAATACACAGCGCACCATATGAGTGTAGATATAAAGGACATTACCGCAACAAATAGAAACCAGTGCGTCGCACCTATATACGCAGGAGATGCGCATGCCATACATATCATGCCCAGACCCTGGAAAATGTATCACGTGCTTTCCATTATCCACTTTGCGTAACAAATTTAACGAAATAAATATTCTTAATAATCGTAATACCAACAAAACAGTTTTTATATTTAAATAATGAAGATTAGCATCTGCATCCAGTTAATGGTATTCAACTTCCACATATTCAAATTTTTCGATTAATATTATATATATGTAAAATAAATAATTATACAATGAATGTACCTGTAATATTAAAATTTGTTTTGATAATAATAAAATATTTCTACAAAATTTTAGAATTAAAATAAAATACACGAAAATAGCTAAAAAAAAATTTAAATTTATTTTATATTTGTTGTACACATATTTGTTTACATAAAAAAAGACTATCCTTCATTAGTTTATTACAAGATTGTTTTTACTCTGTTTATGCTGCATTGTGTAGCTAAATTGACTTAATTAGATTGAATAAACAAAACAAATCTAAAATAAATTTATTTTGCACGGAATAATTTGTTTCTTTAATTTATAGAAAACTTAATTTATTTTTTTTTGTATATACATTAATGCTTTATGTTTTTTCGATATTTTATTCGTTTATTCTACACGGTCGAACAATTAAGTTTCGAGACTCGCTTCGCATTTCCGAATGTTTGATCCGTTTGTGCTGCCATTTTAGGGGGTTATTCACAACTCAATACTCAACACGTGGTGCAAGTTTTAAATTATTTGGTTCAATAGTTAATGAGATACAGTTACGCAAAGTTGTGTTACAAAATTTTGTTTAAAAATCGGTGTAATGAAGGAACGCTTGACAACACGCCAACATTAAATTCTGCATTAAATTAGTGAAGTCTCCAACAGAAACTTTACATTACAAATGATTCAGCAAGCCTAGTCCTCTGAAGCAAGCTCTTTCAAAATCTGATTCACGTTTTGTTTTATGCATATGTATCTTCGAAACGTTACTCTTATGCATAGCTAACTCTCCTTAGGCTTGTTGAATCATTTGTAAAGTTTCTGTTGGAGACTTCTCTAATTTAACGCAGAATTTAATGTTGGCGCGTTGTCAAGCGTTCCTTCCATTACACCGATTTTTAAATAAAATTTTATAACATTACTTTGCGTGACTGTATTTCATCAACTATTGAACCAAATAATTTAAAACTTGCACTACATGTGGAGTATTGAATTGTGAATAACCCCCTAAAATTGCAACACAAACGGATCAAACGTTCGGAAATGCGAAGCGAGTCTCGAAACTTAATTGTTCGACCGTGTAGAATAAACGAATAAAATATCGAAAAAACATAAAGCATTAATGTATATACAAAAAAAAAATAAATTAAGTTTTCTATAAATTAAAGAAACAAATTATTCCGTGCAAAATAAATTTATTTTAGATTTGTTTTGTTTATTCAATCTAATTAAGTCAATTTAGCTACACAATGCAGCATAAACAGAGTAAAAACAATCTTGTAATAAACTAATGAAGGATAGTCTTTTTTTATGTAAACAAATATGTGTACAACAAATATAAAATAAATTTAAATTTTTTTTTAGCTATTTTCGTGTATTTTATTTTAATTCTAAAATTTTGTAGAAATATTTTATTATTATCAAAACAAATTTTAATATTACAGGTACATTCATTGTATAATTATTTATTTTACATATATATAATATTAATCGAAAAATTTGAATATGTGGAAGTTGAATACCATTAACTGGATGCAGATGCTAATCTTCATTATTTAAATATAAAAACTGTTTTGTTGGTATTACGATTATTAAGAATATTTATTTCGTTAAATTTGTTACGCAAAGTGGATAATGGAAAGCACGTGATACATTTTCCAGGGTCTGGGCATGATATGTATGGCATGCGCATCTCCTGCGTATATAGGTGCGACGCACTGGTTTCTATTTGTTGCGGTAATGTCCTTTATATCTACACTCATATGGTGCGCTGTGTATTTTCTGTCCCTTCGGGAAGTACTTAAGGTGCCCATCAACTGGATCTTAACTGTAAGTGAAAATCGCGAAAAAAGTTATAAAATTGCGCAAAATGTGCATCTTCAAAGTTTTTCTTTACTTAGTGTTCTATTGTGTATATTATATTTTATTTTATTCAAAAAGATTTAATATTTAAAAATTCATTTATTTGACTTCTAGAAATAAATTAGAAATAAATAATTTGATCTTTTAAGAATTTCTGAGAATAATGATGTATTGATTTTTTAAAGGTGTGTACGCAAAACATTTAGACTAAGAGCTAGCGACATTTTTGCTTACGGTATTTATACTAAGCTCTTCTGGTAATGAGAGACTCGTTTTGACATAGAGAAGGGATCGACGAGTCTGGCAGCTGGTCAGAGGTATGCGTAGCAACACTTTACCCCCAAACATCATAAAAAAATTGTATCAAAATTGTTATTTATTCTCGTCTGTCCTTTTGCTATATTGCATTTTATGAAGTTTTATGGCCATAAATGATAATATCAGACGTATTGTGGGATGTTAAATTGGCTAGAGAATTTTTTTTCATCGAGAATTAGGGTACTAGAATTTTACAATAGCAGAACAATATTTTTATTTATATAAACCAGGCTGTATTTTATATATTATTTCAATCACACTTTCAGGATACTATTAAAATAAATCCCAGATCAATATTGTGGTATTAACTGTATGCTGACAGATTGAAAAAATCAATGCCATGAGCGCGAGCATAGTATTAACTCTTGTGGCTGACGTCGTTGATGAATATTCCATCTTATATTTTTTGTTGTATAACACCTGAATCGAATAAATTAAAATTATTAGAAATATATATCGAATATGTATATCAATAGTTGAAAAAAAATACATACGAAAAATTTTATTCAGCATCGTTTTCATATACTGTAGAGTCTTCCTTAATATCTTCATCTTTTTCATCTGAATTTTCGACATCATTTCCATCGACATCTCTGTCTATAGCAATATCGTCTTCTGTTAATTAGAATAAAGTCGAAAAAATGATTGGAATAGAGTCGAGAACATATTTGAGTATAGTGAGAGAAAAAATTATTACCATCAAAAGTATTTTTATCATCGAATTTGCAGCATTGCATAGTCATCATTTACCAATGCTGGTAATTGATCGCCTTTGAACCAAGTAAAAGTATACTGTCCTTAGATTTCTGTCCAACCGTGGTCTTGGGGAAGCAAATTTATTGATGTTTTTAGATGCGCATTTCTCCATAAAGTCGTTATGAAGTGTGCTCAAAGCACACTATACTATTCAATGCTGTAAATTCGAAGATGAAAATACTTCTGATGGTAATAATTTTTTCTCTCACTATACTATATTTTATATGTTCTCGACTCTATTCTAATCATTTTTTCGACTTTATTTTAATTAACAGAAGGCGATATTATTATGGACAGAGATGTCAATGGAAATGATGTCGAAAATTCAGATGAAAAAGATGAAGATATTGAGGAAGACTCTACAGTATACGAAGACGATGCTGAATAAAATTTTTCGTATGTATTTTTTTTCAACTATTGATATATATATTTCTAATAATTTTAATTTATTCGATTCAGGTGTTATACAACAAAAAATACAAGATGAAATATTCATCAACGATGTCAGCCACAAGAGTTAATAATATGCTCGCGCTCATGGCATTAATTTTTTCAATCTGTCAGTATACAGTTAATACCACAATATTGATCTAGGATGTATTTTAATAGTATTCTGAAAATGTGATTGAAATAATATATAAAATACAGCCTGATTTATATAAATAAAAATATTGTTCTGCTATTGTAAAATTCTAGTACCCTAATTTTCGATGAAAAAAAAATCTCTAGCCAATTAAATACCCCACAATACGTTTGGCATTATTATTTATGATCATAAAACTCCATAAAGTGCAATATAACAAAAGGACAGGCGAGTATAAATAACAATTTTGATACAGTTTTTTATGATGTTTAGGGGTAAAGTGTTGCTACGCATACCTCTGCCTAATTGCCAGACTCATCGATCTCTTCTCTATACGTCAAAACGAGCCTCTCATTACCAGAAGAGCTTATAATTAGTATAAATACGTAAGTAAAAATGACGCTAGTTCTCGGTTTATGAGCGCGGTTCGAAAAAACTGTGCGGTGCCCAGCGTTTAGTTACGCCTAACTCAAACGGTTGACAAAGTGTTAAATTAGCTTTTCTTTTTCTTACATGAGAAAAATCTAATATTTACTAATGTTATTTTGGTAATTATTTACATTAACGGACGCCTTGCCGATGACCTTGACCTTGACATATGTTGTCAAGGACATGACCCTGAATAACATACAAAAGGTTTTAGTTGGCGCTCATTGTTTATTAAAAATTTGTTCTACTAACAAAAGTTATGAAGCATTAATATAAGCATAAGCAGAAGCATAAATTTTAGTTTTAAATCAGAAATAGGTTTGGGTTAGGTTATATCTTCCGGAAGTGGAGCCAACCTGTAGGGGGAGGGGGGGGGAACCCACTCTGTCCACGCATATATTGTACTTTACAACGCGAAGCGAGGTCCACCCCACAATTGTTGTGTGGATTGGAAAGTGTATATGTGGACGCAATAGATTTCGCCCCTCCCCTTACGGGGGGGCTCCATTTCCGAAAGATATAACCTAATCCAAACCAAATTTTTAATGTAAATAATTACCAAATTTGGTGTGAGTTACGTTGTATAACCCAAACCAAATTATCGTTTCGAATCAAACTTTAATTTTAAATATCTCAGAAATTATAAGAGACCGCCGATTAAGTTATAAGAAAAAGTTACTCA